GCCTTTAAAAAATTTGCACATGGAGGATATGACACAAAATAATTTTTTAGGTTTTACATATATACATTCAATAATTAAAAAATCATAAATTACTATATCAATACCATAGAATTCCACTACAATTTATCAAGCTTAGTAACTAAAATGTATTTTACTCTTAAAAAATATGAAATTTAGAGCAGACTAGACACACATATTGGATTTAATATTGGATTTTAAATTAAGAAATTGAGTAATATATAATACTAAAATTTGAATTATAATCTACAGTTTGATACCAAAGTTATTGACATATATTCTTGAAATAGTAGTTCAATAAAATTTTTTAATTAACATGTATGATAATGACATCATGCACTAGCACAGTTCAACTTCCTTGAGCAATTTCTCCACCTAAGCAGTTGCACTCAATTAAATTAATTCTTAAATGAGGCAAGAAGAAAGTGCACCAGAAGTGGGGAGGTGGGTATCTACTGGAAATACATTTTCAGGTAAGGAAAATGTTAACTTCCACGACAATACTTCAACTCTTCACACAGAATAGCTGGAATCCCACACTGAAATGGTAGAGGGTCCAGTACAATCATTAAACCTAGATGAGCTACCTTCAGAAAGTGCCCGAAGGGAAAGCCTATGGAGCATGACCATAGATGGTAGGGGCTTCCCATAGAGACACACCCGTGGAAAACCACATCTCATCTCAAAAAGAGTAAAATTGTAGCCCAATAGAAAAGGGAAGGAAAGGCAAAAGAGTCCCAAGTGTCACAGGGATTGGTGGAAGTTTAGCATCACTAGCTGAGCACTAGTACACATGGGAGGTATGGTCTGGATTGGGCAAATGAGTAAATTTAATAACATAAGGATACCACTAATGGTCTTATGGAACAGCTCATCTCGACAGCAGGCACTAGTAGAGCCAAAGCTGATGAAGGTTTTGGGAAAGAAGTATATCCTAGGAGGCAACACCAGTCATCTGGAAAGACCCTAAAAAATGGAAGAGGGTTATGAAGAAGAAAATGTACTTACCCTTCTCAAGGAAGGTGTTCAGATTGAAGAACAGCAACCAGATAGATTCAAGTTCCCACAGGAAACAAAACAGCCAGATGATGAAGATAATGGGAGGCAAACGTGCATGAAGTCATCCATATGCTAGTCATAAGAACATCATCCAAGGGTCGGTGAAAGCAAAAGAGAAGAGATTGAGATAAGTGACAATCTGATGCAATGAAATGTGAAAGCCTATGTGCATCAAACTTTAGGGAAGAATACACCAACTGAAAGAGTTGGCAGACCCATTCTGCATGGGTAGAAGAGGAGATGTCCCTGGACAAAGAGGGTCCCAAGATGGAAAATCAATGATGGGAACACCAAAAAAGAGACATACATGGCAAGAAACATTGAACAGCCAGAATGGAACGTACTCTGGGTCCAACTGAGCATAGAGATGAGAAATAAAGGGAGATAAATAGGAGAGAAAGAATGATAACCTTTTGAAGCAGTCAAAGTCTTAGGAAGAAAAGCCCAGTTAGGGTAGAGAAGTAGTAAGTATGTACAGAGAAAGACAGTATGGAAAGCATTGATGGCACATACATCTAAACAATGTCTTCAGAGAAAGATGGTATAAAAAATATGAAGTCAACGGCCTTGACCAAAACGTATAAGAATGTGTAAAATCACATTAAGTTTCCAGTAAGAAGAGGAAGTCAGGAAAAGGAAAGAATGAAGAATCTGAACAACAAAGAGTGGACAGGAGATCAAAAAACCTGATGGCAATGGGAAAGACATGTAGTTGATAAAGCAGACTAATAACCAGCAATGATGGAAACAAACAATCCATGGTCAAACTGTCAAGTAAAAAAGCCAAAATGTGGGCCACAGTAGGATGGTCTAGAGGGAAAGAGTAGCCACTTCCATTGATAGAGGGACAAAGTTGAATGATGACAAGATTTGGATACAAAAATGACTATACAGTTGGAGAGGCCAGCTCTGCAGGTAATGGGCTGGACAAATCCCACATGTTAAGATGAATGGATGACATTCCTGGGTGTAAAGAGACATGTGTGGTTGGAGCAAGAGAAAGCAGGTATAGGGCAGATGAAGAGGGGGGCCTAGACACCAATTGACAAAGCAGAAGAAACCAGGGTGGTGCCAGCCAAAGAGGTGCCACCAACAGGACCTGACATGGAGTGTTGTGTATCAAAGCAAAGACACAAGGGAGGAGACAAAGAGGAGTGTAAGCATAAAGAAAAATATAAGACCAGTCCTGGCTTAGAGCATCAACTGCCAGGGTTGAAGGATGAGGAACTAGATACCAGAAGAGAGGAAGTTTGGTGTTGAAAGGAGTAGCAAAGGTATAAATGAGAAGCATGCCCAACTGAGTGCAAACCCAAGGAAAAAACCTGAAGGTGAAGAGACCGCTTCTTAGGTAGAGTTTTATATAGCTGAGAAAGGCAATCTGCCACCAATTTCAGAGTCCCTAGCACATGACAAGCTATGAGACAAACCCACCAGGAATGAGCCCAAAACAGCAGGTCCAATTGTACGGAATCAAAGAGTCCTGAAATAAATACTCCCCTAACAGTTGATATAAGAAACAACATTGGAATTGTTGGAGTGGATCATAACCAAACAATTCATGAGAAGGAGGAGGAAATAGTAATATGCTCGATGGATGGCAAGAAGTTCAAGTATGTTGCTGAAAGAATGAGCACTCATCCAGAGCTCACACACCTGAAGTCATGTCGTCATTCAGAGACATGCCGCAACCTGACAGAGGTGCAGCTATGAAAAGAGGGAGATCCAATTGGGGGTGATAAGGAGATGCACATTGTAGCATTAACATGGTTGAGCCTCTAAGACAAGTCCTTGATAAGAGGAGAGGGTAGACTCATAATGGAGGACAACAGATCCTGAGAAAGGCTACACTGGTCCTGCAATATCTATTGAAGGAGGTGCACATGTGCATGCCTTAAGGAATGAGTGGTTCAAGGAAAGTTAGTCTCCTAAAGCAAAAAACCTTGCATGCAGGATGTAAATGAGATGCACGAATCTTGATGACATTCCACTGCTCGCAGATGAGGTGGTAAAGGATAAGCTCAACTGAGATGGGAGTTTTAGAACATGCCCAGACATACTAAATGTTGTGTGGGCATGAAAAAAGGCTTGACAAGCCAGTCCAGCAGCTTCATGCATAGAACTGGAAGACCCAATTCTAATGGACAAAACAAAGAAAATGTCTGGAGAACAAGACAATTGAAATGTATAAAAAGGCATCTGAAATGTCTACCTTGATTATCTATAGTCTGTGTGAAAAGAGCCACCAAAGAGAAAAGAAACCCTCCATCCAAGACTAGAAACCAGTTGAGAAATGACAGATCAATAACCAGATGCCAATCCCCAATCTTCTTGAGACCATAAAGAGATGAGAGTAATAACCTAAAATAGGGGTAAATACTCTCTCAATGGGGTTCTTGACCAAGAGATTTGAAACTGCATCCTCAAGTCACTGAAGACAAAGGGGATTGGAGGAAGGAGGAAAAGAAACCAGAAAAGGAAAGGGGGGGGAGAAGTGGAGAGATAAGCTTTGAATGAGGACCTGAAGAACCCATATGTCAGACTAAAATGGAGTCCAAAGGCTGGTAAAGACACAGGTAGGCTTCCAAAGGGCCAGACTCAACAGGGTAGTCACTGACATTGTGAAAACCTTGATGTCATGAAGGGAGAGAACAGGAAAAAGAAAGAGGTCGAGAAGCAGAAATGGGAAGGGAAGACATGGGTTCAATAGGTCTAGGAAAAGGAACAGAAGGTTGAGAAAGGCAAGAAACCAAAGAAGGCAGTGAAAGCTAATGTCTGGCCACCTCAGCCTAGGTCTCCAGTGAGTCAGGAACACCCCTAAAAACCTCCAGGTTAAAAAATGGAGCCCAACAAAAATCATTGAGATGATTGTAAAGAAAGTGTACATTAGCTAGGAGAACATCTCATCCCCACAAGTCCCAACAGCAGAGGAACCAAGTAAGGAGGGATAGAGCAGAAAAAAAAAAGTATGGGACAATGTGGAGAAGAGAAGAGAATGAAGATCTCCAGAAAACACCTCTAAAGTTTGATGAAGTGTCACAGATATAAGGTGAAGTTAGGAGAGGTAATGCAGGAGGGTGGTCAGAAAAAGATGAAGGTGTGAAAATTGAGCACTAGACAGGAAAATCGAAGTTTAAGAGTCTACTCCCCAATTAGATGAAAGAGATTCCAAAGAACTGGGAATTGAAGAATGAAAGTGAAGAATGGATGTAAGCCAGGACAAAAGAGTCAAGTAGACAAGGAGGATGAAACATGTTAGTACAGGTGCACAGTTGTTCAAGAAATGAGTATGCATGGACCCTAACATCAGGAGGAAGGAAGACAAAGTAATCCTGAGTATGGGTTTCATGTAGTGAAGCAAAAGGAGGAATCAAGAGAAACAGGGGAAAGAGAAAGAAGATACTTTGGAAATCATGTCAAGGAAAAGATTAGAAGGGTGAGGACTTCCTCCACACATAAAGCTGTGCCTAAAGTAAAACTTGATTTGGGGGGGGGGGGGATAGCCAGCCAAAATCATCATCATCATCCTGGTCATGTTCAAACTGAGGAGAAGGAATGTAGGTTGAATGGACCTGAGGAGGAGGCCCAGTGTGCATGAAGGAACCCACAACACATTGAACAAAGACTGTCACATCCTTCACACTAATCACAGGTACTGTGTTAGTAGAATCACAACTATCACAGGATGAAGTGAAAGTTACTATCACTTAAGAAATCATAATTGCAGGAAATCACCCAATATTTTTTTTCTAAGTGAAATTTAAAAAATAAAATACTGGTTATGTGAATCATGAACACTACACCAGGTAAACTTGAAGAATATGTAACTCAATAGGAAATTTGGAGACAAGTCTGTTCTAGACAATGCCAAGGAAAAATTCTGCCAAGTTAATTCAAGAACAAATGCTTAGAAGGAGCTACTGTGCAAGGAGGTTGTGTCACCCTCCTACTGGTGGAGAGCTATTGTCACATGATGAGGACATCATGCACTAGTGCAGTTCATGTTAAACACGTGTTTTTAAGGTAAGAGACAGCTCAAAGCTAGTGGCATGAACATTTCATAGGCAATGCACAAAGGAATCGAACTACTCTGTGAAAAGAGGTGAGTTATCATCCTGGAATTTACCAATGGTTGAATGCATGCAGGTATTCCAACCACAAAGATGTACTATAAACATGTTAAGGATTGTAATGCAAGAAGTTTTACAACCACATTTGGGTTACTCATTTGTTTGATATGACAAAATATGGCTAGCATTTTAGTTAACAATTTCAATAAATGAAAAAATTTACAATTGTAAGCTGAAACAAACAAGACTAAATTTTGCTTCAAGCTTTCTAAAATCATAAGTATGTAATAACAGGCTCAACTTTGTTGTTTGGAACTTTCTAGCATTCAAAGTATAAAATAAAAGGCCTAGAACATAGCTATCTAAAGTTTTTTAAAATCAAGTGGACATAAAATTGCCCACAATTTTTGTAGAACTTTTCAATAACTTACATATTGATGTCTTTAATAATAGTTAAAAACATTTTAGGTTTTCAATGAAGTGATTCTTCAATGACTGTGTGTGTGTGTGTGTGTGTGTGTGTGTGTGTGTGTGTGTGTGTGTGTGTGTGTGTGTGTGTGTGTGTGT